TAAATACATAAATATATATTTATATTTCTATATATGCCTATGTTAATTAGCATCTAGTAAAATTTATTTATTTGCAGTGCCGTATCGTAAGCTGCGCAAAGAGGTGCATACAAAATGGACTAATGTGGCGGAATGTTTTCACACACATCTTTTACTTGTCTTTATCACATAAATGTAAAACGTCGGTTGCCTTGCGCTAAACCTTGTCGTTTTGTGTAAGCAGTAAAGCCATATACCTACATGTATTTTTTCTTGATCACCTCGCACAGGGTCAGACTTTGATTCTCAAGCATTATTTGCATCCTTGGAAGGATTCAGGGTCTCTATTTTGTACAAAAATAACCGGTAAATATTTGGATCGTTTATTATTATAAATTTTTATCGCATTTATCAAATTTGGCCTCCATCTGTTTTGCTGCTCTTTCTTTATTCGTACTTAATTTGAATCACAATGTATTTATAAAGCTACCCACTCAAAATCGTCTATACAACAAGTTCTTTACAGCGTTAGGATGAAGCACCCCCTAAACGTTGCCCTCTCAAAAAAAAAATCACAAGTTGACGCTTTAATGTTTTTTTTAGACTCAGTCTAGGGTATACAGAGTGAACAAAATAGTAATACTGATCATTTCTTTCGCCCTTACGAAAATCTATTTTCCTTTGTGAATAAGGGAGTGTTAAAGAAGAATGAGAAATTAATACGAATAAACTGTACCTACTGCATTATTTATTCTTAATAGGTTAATGGTTCAAGTACTAATAAAAATATCAATTTAGTGAGACCCAAATAAGTTAATTTATAATTTCATTTATTCTTATTAAAGACTATCTAAAAGGAAACACATATTGCAAGTGCACGTGTGAGTGTGCGTTTGCAATGCCCTTAATTAATTAAATTGTGTCCACCACCAGATTGCCTTGCCCCGGCATTGGAACAAAATACAGTCTGCAACATGTCGGTAATGCACTTGATGTTGTGATGAATTTAGAACTTACAATTAGTATGCATTTATTAGGTCATTCTACATACGGATTCCTGACCCTGATCAAAGGTATACGGAAGAAATCTTTTCTGGCGCACCTATTACAGAAAATCGTTACTGGTAATTTCCATTTTTACTTGCGCATTGTGTACATTAAAATTCTGAGTCTTAACGTACAGTTGCATAAGTTATGTTTCCCTATTAGGAAAATAAACATTTACGTGTATATTATAATATATCTACCTTAACAAAGAGTTGCCTGACAAATTTCACGTATCGGAATATTGATGAGCAATTAAAAATACTACAAAATACGATTTTGTTTCATTTAGATGCTTTTTTTACGAATAATAAGAAATTTGTGTTTATGTTCTACCCAAAATGAACTATATAAAAACAAAACTTACGTACTATAACATTTCTTTAAACGGCACCAGAAGAAAGCTTGTTGTTAAATATATATATATNTAATATACATTTGGTCCTTGAAAATTGCTGTTATTTTTAATGACTTCCTGAAAATTTTTCCTATTGAAAGGAATAGAGAGTAAAATATACCTACACCTAACACAAAATGATTTCCCATGGCTAATATTTTGCTATTTGTACTGTTGCAATTATATTAGTTCGTAGGAGTAGGTTATTCTTAAAAATAAACGTTAATTAATTTGTTTTTAACAGTCGCTGTTATCTGGTTTATTTGCCGATCTAATTACATGTATAATTTGACTAATTAGTTTGTCGAAACATGAGAAAATTATTTTTTGATGGCATAATTAAGTAATTTATTGGATCCGCAAGGGAATTTTATTAAATACCATTTCTGGGTGTTAGAAATGTCTCGATTACTTAATAAAAGCCATTATTGATTTTTAATAAATCGATACTTAATTACTGGTCGCCTAATTATTTATCTGTAAAATAGAATAATCGGTTACCTAATTTTCAAACTTCTAGTGACGGCTATTGTGCAACCAAGTTTATAATTTGTGTGAATGTCGAGTTTCATAAAAAAGCGTCAATTAGGCAATTTAAACATTGTTTAATTGGAGTCTTAATGAAGCAGGTGCTTCGAATATTGCAATTGACGAACGGCTAGGTTCTCGGTAGTCGGTGTCGGTACCAACTTTTCTTTCGGCAAAAATCCGGTTTTTCCTTCACCTCGACGAATCAGTTTTGTTTTTCTTTCATCTGGCGAAAAAGGATTTCGATCCGTTATCATCGTATTATCATCGATGGATTTCGAAACTGCATGTACCCCCTAGTCGGTGTGAGGGAGAGAGGACAAGTGAGAGGGGGGCAGTGTGAGCGAATGTCTCTCCAAGTACTACCGACAACTAACCAACCAACGAACCAACGACGCTGTTCCATCGTCAGTGAAGTGATATAAAGGGTAGCCGTAGCCGGGTACTTGCTAGTGATTTCGCTTTCGGTATAGGTGAACGACGCAGGTCACATATACTCGTAATGCTCGCACTAGCCGCGCTACTACTAACCCTGTTATTGGTGTGGTGTTTATCAGAACCGAAGAAGAAAAAGAATCTGCCACCAGGGCCGAAACCTTGGCCCGTTATCGGCAGCCTTCATCTTCTGGGGCAACATGAAACCCCTTTTCAAGCGTTTACTGCACTGTCCAAACTTTACGGGGATATCTTTAGCATTACTTTGGGCGCGACACCCTGCGTTGTCGTTAACAACTTCGATAGCATAAGGGAAGTACTCATAACAAAAGGAGCCGAATTTGGCGGACGACCTGATTTTATGCGCTTCCATAAACTTTTCGGTGGAGACAGAAATAATTGTAAGTTTCTATTTTTTTTTTGTTGTGCCTTTTTAATTCATATAATATGCACTTACACGAAAGGCTGTTGTTCTGAAAGCTAAGTTAGTATCAAAGGAGATGTTCCTTTACTATTCCAATTTAATTTAAACGAATGAGCTCTACTGTTCGGACTAAAGCGACCAAATTATTACGCGAACGAGGGTGTAGAAAAAGGGGCAATTTTCGAATATCAAAATTGTAAATTTCGTATTCTATAAACTTCGCTTATATGGTTGTGGTATTTAAAATAATAAAAGTAATAAATAATTGCAATGCATATCCATGAGTTTGAAGAGCAGTATATAGCTGATAAGCAATAAACGAATAGTTTGTTTATTAATTTTCATTGTATACTACAATTAAATGGTTAATGTGTCAAAGTTGTAGTAGGAGTGGCTCTCGGGTCCATATTTGTATGTATGTTGTACATAAGCATATGTAAGCATGTGGATATTTCATTCATAATTCCATCCTAGAGTGGATAACCGTGAACTTGAACTTGCGTACTCTCTTGATGAAATCGAAACACATGGACGGTCTTTTTTCATTCTTGGTGCGCTGCTTGTGCAGCATATGGTTTTATTAGCGCGTTCTTATAATTTATTACGTACAATTACGATGATATAACTATTCCGCCCAGTTAAAGAATCGTTAAAGAACTAGTTCACTATTTTTTTATTTTGCTCGCATACCAATTGTTCTTTAAACAGTACGCCTGTTGGAGTACAACTTCGTAATTATAATTAGTTTAATCGAGTAGAAAATCGAATTTTGACTTACAACTAACGAGTTACGTAACGTGCAATTTTCGTAGGTCACTGGTGCTAAACGTAACGTTGACATTCATTCCAGACACAAGTCATCGTAGAATTATCAGTTGCAGCAGCCTTGAAACTCCACTGCCACTTGTACTTTTATTATTCTTATTATAGCAACGTGTATTCTTGTTTCAGCTCTTGCCTTGTGCGACTGGTCCTCGTTGCAGAAAACAAGACGGAGCATTGCCCGAAACTACTGCTCGCCAAAGTTTACCTCGTTACAATTCGATTACGTGAACCAAGTGGGCTGTCAAGGGACTAGGGTTCTTTTGGAGGAGTTACGCTCGCTACCAGAAGGAAAGCCGGTCGCACTCAAGCCCATGGTCTTGGCGGCATGCATGAATATGTTCACCCAGTACATGTGTTCCGCCAAGTTCGATTACAGAGATGCGGAATTTAAGAGAACGGTTAGATACTTCGACGAGATATTCTGGGAGATCAATCAAGGCTACGCCGTTGATTTCCTTCCTTGGTTGCTACCCTTATATGCGAACCATATGCAAAAACTCTCTGACTGGGCCAGCGAAATCAGGAAATTTATTCTAGCTCGAATCATCGAAAAGCACAGGGCAACACTCGATCCGTCTCTACCACCGAAGGATTTCACGGATGCGCTTCTTTTGCATCTGGACGAAGATCCTAATATGAACTGGCAGCATATAATATTTGAATTGGAAGATTTCTTGGGAGGCCATTCAGCTGTGGGCAATTTGGTAATGGTGGCATTGGCGGAGATAGTAAAAAATCCACAAGTAGGGAAGAAAATCCAAGCAGAAGTTGATAACGTAACTAACGGTGAAAGACTGCCGAATCTAAGCGACAGAACCAGTATGCCTTACACGGAAGCTGTACTGTGGGAAACTCTTCGATCGGCGAGTTCACCGATTGTGCCACATGTTGCGACGGCTGAAACAGAAATCGGAGGCTTCACAGTAGAAAAGGGTACGATGGTGTTCATAAACAACTACGAACTGAACGTGGGCAACGTGTACTGGGACAAACCAGAACTTTTCAGTCCCGAAAGATTTATTTCTGTGGAAACAGGGACACTAGTCAAACCTGCCCATTTCATTCCCTTCAGCACAGGTAAAAGGACATGCATCGGCCAGAGGTTGGTGCAGTGTTTCAGCTTCATAATAATAGCGACCATAATGCAATACTTCGACATATCGAGCAATGAAGAAATCAATTTGAAACCTTGCTGCATGGCTGTACCGCCAGACTGTTTTGAGATTGTTTTACATCCAAGGAACAGGACTGGTGCCAATTAACTACTATTACTGCTACAACCATTGCCACTACACTGCCCTCGCTTTATGTTATGTTATCTCTCTCCTCGTAGTAGTAGTAGTAGTAGTATGTAGTAGCAGGTAATTCTTGTATCCGTCCACTGAAAAGCAAAACCTGCCGCCACGTATCATCTTATCTTGCATGGACTTACGATTGTTAGATTGGTGTGTGTATGCTGGAGGAAAAAAAAACACCTAACCCACCGACAATGATACCCAAGCAAACGTGAAAGAGATAAGTATACGCGAAGAAGACGAAAAAAAGACGACGTTTGTAAATTCAAAGCTGGAATGGTACCTGCCTTGAACAAGACGATGACTATGAAAATACATCGATGATGATGTTTATTATTATTATTATTATTATTATTATTATGGCTGAACATCACTTGCATCTCATTTATATCAATGTTGTTTAATTTTTTTATGTTAAGATATTATGCTATGTATTGTTGTAATTAATTAATCGTTTATATAATTATTATTATAATAATGTAATTTCCCAGTGGTTAAGTCAATTTTTATGAGACTGAATAAACTGCGTATTTTATTTATGCTTTCGTTTTATTATTCGCACTACCAATATCACGTACGCGAATTTTTCGTTTTCAATAAAATTTCCGATTTCCACGTATAACACAATACGTGTATTTTCCGCAAGGCCTTTTTCTCAAGGCCGATACTGGTCGTTATCAAAACGTTTTCAAAACTTACATGCCGTGGTTACTTCAACAAAAAATGTAGGTAAGATTTTAACTTGATCAAGATCAAATAGTAAAATATTTCGTAACTAAATATTGGATCTTCTACTCTTTTTTACATGAGTAACTTACGTATATTGAAATTGACGCTAGTTTGAAATCGCACAAAAAAAAATTCATTAGAAACTTAGGAAAAAAATTATTTTTTTGCAAACAACGGTGTTAGGTTATTGTCATGGTAGAAAAGGTAATACTTAAAAAATTTGTAGATGTTTAAATTTTTTTTATTATAGCTGAGAGGGACAACGTTAAAGATGGTTATTTTGATGTAGTATAATAGACGCAATATTTTTGACTTTTTTCTTTTAAGGTTTTTTATGCTACTCATTAATCATTTCTTGTTGCATTTTACGTACGGTGTTATCCGATTTTACGTACGAACACTACCCTCTGCTATCTATCTAAAACTAGGTACCTACATAAAAATTACATAGGAAAGATAAATTGAACCATTTATCAGCGTCAAAAGCGTGGGTTTTACTTGGGTAAGCTGTAGTAGACTTAAAAACAAAAAAAAATGTGTTTTTTATTTATACAGCAGGTAAAGAAATGAAAAAAATAAAACCCTAGGCTAATACTGGTCCTTTAAAAACAAAAACTAACAACCGATTTTGTTACGTACTACGTTATTATTAAATAATTATTGCAACCTTAATTTTTCCGCGAATAAAACTATTTCTGGAGAGTAGTAATGTTTAAAATGTATTCGTTGTTTAACAAATAATAAAAAAAATGCTTGGCTGACTTAAGTGCAATAAACGATAAGCGATCTTGTGTAGTCTCCAGCTTTATTCTTATAATTAGATAAAAAAGCAAAAATGCTGCAAAACAATAATACAGCACGTTCTTCCGTAGCAGCTTAGTTTGCACAATAAGCTATATAATCTTAAAAATGTTCGTTTATTTCAGTGGTGATTTAATGAAAAATTGTTATGTGTACAGGGTGGTCTATAAAAAAAATGGAACATTAGCCTACTGCACATTTTAAATGTACCGACTAATAGCTGCCACTTTTTTGGGTTTGTGTGTACAAAACGATTGTAAATTCTGTCCGATATATAATTGCACAAAAAAAAATTAGGTCCACATTTCTGTAAACAAATGAAAAAACAACCACGCAATATTTACTCCGTTCTTGTTGTCTTTTCCTACCGTAACCTTATGATCCTCATCTAATTGAATAACTGAAATGAAGTTTTGCTTTAACTTACCAAACCGTGGTATTACATTTACCGTGCAGACTTGCATATATATATCTGACGAAATTTACATTTGATAATAAAAATTAAAGCGGCAACAATAGTTTTTTAGTTTAGTCAATAGTTTCCGGCTAAAGTAGCTGAATACAACAACTTATTGTGATGTTTAGAATTTGCAGTTGTCCTACATCCCATTCTTTATTATCCACCCTGTATATGTGTACACATATACATGCACGCACTTATGTATGTATGTTATATACGTACATGTGTCTGCATACGTACACTCGTAATACGTATCTGATTAAAAAAGGGACGGGAACTAGTACCTACCAAAAATGGTAACCGGAACACTTACGCTGATGGAAATGAATTTTATCATCAATAAATTCACGAGAATAAAACTGTCACACGCGTTTTTATTGTGAGAAATTTACAGAAATACCATATGGATAAGAATGAGAGTTTTTAATAGTCTCCGGTTAAATATAATTGACATGTGATAATGACACAGATTATCTAATCGAGTAGTTATTTATTTAACTAATTTTAATAGCTAAATCATTTACATCATTTAATCGCTTCTATGAGCTCGATTCTTTCAGAAAGTTCTCTTATTTTCCAGAAAAAAGTATGTCATCGTTAGATGCATTAGAAGTGGTAAAGAAAATAATAAAAATATCGAAAAAACTACGTAAAAGTTCTAATAAATATTAAAATAAAAGTCCAATAAATTTTCATTTTTTTTGTGAAAATTTTGCTATGACTTTTATTCTAGATACATACAGGTAGGTATACCTACATATTTATTAAACATGAATTTTCATCAAGTAGAGGCCAATACAATTAAATAAATACATAAATATATATTTATATA